TGTCTTGCTGTGATACAAGCAAACAGGCCTGGTTTGTTTACAGACTTGGTCAACAAGCTAGGAGATAATTCCAGATTTGCCTGTGGTTCCTTAACCCCTTGCCAGTATTGATAGCCTGTTAGTGAGTCCAAACGGCTGCCTGGTATGCAGTTTCCTGGACTTTCTGAGACCCCAAAAGACCAGTGCTTCTAAGTATCATAGGTGTATCTCAAAGAAATTTTCAGGAGTAGAAAAATATTTAGCACCCAAGAAGTTGAAAGGCACAATGCTTGGCTTCTGTCAAAAATTACCAAGTAAAGAAAATGGAATCTATGATGAGGAGAGAAACTATTCATAAAGACATAAACTAAATAGTCTATATCTATTCCCAGTGGCTCAGTGGTAAAGAATCTTGCCTGCCAGTGCAGGAGACACTAGAGACACGGGTTTGATCCTTGGATCTGAAAGATCCTCTAGAGAAGGAATTCTTGCCTGGAAATTTCTGTGGATAGAGGAGCCTGGCAGGCTACAGTCCATGGAGTCTCAAAGAGTTGGACTTGACTGAGTGACTAAGCACACACACATGGCATAAAATTTTTTTAAATTTATAGTTAAACATTCTCCCACAAAGAAAACTACAAGTACCTTCACTGAAAATTTTCACCAAATACTTAAGGAAGACATAATTCTAATTTCACATACTCCTTCAGGAATAGAGGAGGAGAAAATGTTTCTTAACGTTCCAAGTGGGTAACATTACTGGGATGCCAATGCAGATAAAGATAAACTGAGAAGTAATCTAGAGAACACTAACTCATTAACATAGATTCAAAGCTTCTCACTAAAATTTTTAGCAAATCAAATAAAACAATGTGTTAAAAAAGATTACTCTATCTTGAACGTGTAGGCTTATCATAGTAGCAAATCTGTTTAACACTGTAAAATATATCAATGTAATTCACCATTTCAACAGAGTAAACAAGAAAAACTATTCATTAATCTCAATATATTAGACAAAATCTATTGGGAGAAGCAAAGACTTGTAGAACTGCAAAGTGAACAGGAACAAAGGATGCTCTTCAGGAGACCTAGTAATCTTTTTGAGCAGAAAAATGAAAGCCCATTCTTTGATATCTCACCTCTAACTCTGGCTTTGTATAAAGATTTCTGATACCTCAGATGGAGAGATTTTGAGATCAGTTCAGTTCAGTTGCTCAGTCGTGTCCCACTCTTTACGAGCCCATGAATCGCAGCACGCCAGGCCTCACTGTCCATCACCAACTCCCGGAGTTCACTCAAACTCATATCCATCGAGTCGGTGATGCCATACAGCCATCTCATCCTCTGTCGTCCCCTTCTCCTCCTGCCCCCAACCCCTCCCAGCATCAGGGTCTTTTCCAATGAGTCAACTCTTCGCATGAGGTAGCCAAAGTATTGGAGTTTCAGCTTTAGCATCAGTCCTTCCAATGAACATTTTGAGATACATGCACTCAAAATAATTCTGGAATCCTGCCAACTTAGAGAGACTTGAGCTTCTATGTTAAAATCACAGACTTGTAGAAAATCATAACGTGACACCTTAACTGCATTTGTGAACTCTCTGATAGTCTGATTTTATGCTTTTTGTCTCATCAAATCTATCCACAAGCCAAGTCCATTGTGTGTTATATAGGCGCAACAAGGGTTTGCTGAACAAAAAGTGAAATAAAACTCTTAATATAATGTCAGCTGTTTTGGGCAGCTTCACAGCATGTTTGATTTTTAAAAATTGTACCATGTTTTCATGTATATGAAAGTCCATTGCAGTGTACCCTCACCCACAATGAGAATTATTAGTACTTTTGAGTCTGTTGTTTTTAAAATGAAAGCTTACGTTTCAAACTGGGTTTGTCTTAAATTATTAACAACTTATCCTGTTTGAATTAGCTATGAAACTTGGAATATAGTTTTCCCCCCACTGAATCATACAGTTTATTATTAAGATTTTTTTTTATTGGAGTACAGTTGATTTACAATGTTGTGTTACTTTCTGATGCACAGCAAAGTGAATCAGATATATGGAAAAATATATTCACTCTTTTTTTGAATCTTTTCCCATCTAGTTCATTACAGAGTAATGAGTAGATTTCCCTGCGCTGCTATACAGTAGGTCTTTGTTAGTTATCTATTTATACACAGTAGTATATATATGAACTTATTTACAAAACAGAAATTGAGTCAAAGATGTAGAAAACAATCTTATGGTTACTAGGGAGGAGAAGGGAGAAGGAATAAATTGGGAGCTTGGGAGTATAGTTTTTAATTTGTAGTGATTTTACAAAATGCACACACATTTTGAAGTTGCATATCCTTCAATTTTGATGTCTTAAAAATGTTAAAGTTATATATGGTAGTTGTTGGAAATATGAAAAGAGAAAATTGCAAAGTAATAATCACTTAAAAACACACCATTAAAAGGTCACCATTGCTATCATTTCAATGAATGTATTTCCAAAGATTACATAGTCTTTGTATTTGCAGATGATTTATGATGTCAAGAATTCCCCAGTTGGCTTGGTGGTAAAGAATCCTCCTGACAAAACAGAAGCTACAGGAGATGTGGATGCTATCCCTGGGTCGGAGGGTCCCCTGGAGTAGGAAATGGCAGCCCACTGCAGTATTCTTGCTTGAAAAATTCCATGGACAGAGGAACCTGATGGGCTATAGTCCTTGGGGTCGCCAAGAATTGGACAGGACTGACTGCACCCATGCACGGGGCTATGATGTCAAAAGGATCATGTTCAGTTCAGTTCAGTCTCTCAGTCGTGTTGGACTCTTGGCGACCCCATGGACTGCAGCACTCCAGGTTTCTCTGTCCATCATCAACTCCCAAAGCTTGCTCAAACTCATGTCCATTGAGTCAGTGATGCCATCCAACCATATCATCCTCTGTCCTCCCTGTCTCCTCCTGCCTTCAATCTTTCCCAGCACCAGGGTCTTTTCGAAGGAGTCAGTTCTTTACATCAGGTGGCCAAAGTATTGAAATTTCAGCTTCGACATCAATCCTTGTATCTAAGCATATACATATTGGGTTTCTGCTTCTGGATTTCTTTCAACGTCCAGTTGCATGTGCTATGCTGTTAAACATCTTTTCATGTGTTTGTTAGCCATATGTATGTCTTCTTTGGAGAAATAGCTGTTTAGGTCTATTGCCCACTTTTTGATTGGGTTGTTAATTTTTCTGGAATTGAGCTGCATGAGCTGCTTGTATGTTTTGAAGGTTAATTCTTTGTCAGTTGTCTCATTTGCTATTGTTTTCTCCCATTCTGAGGGCTGTCTTTTCACCTTACTTATAGTTTCCTGCATTGTACAAAAGTGTTTAAGTTTACTTAGGTCCCATTTGTTTATTTGTGTTTTTATTTCCATTACTTTGGGAGGTGGGTCCTAGAAGATCTTGCTGTGATTTATGTTAGAGATGTGATTAACTTTCTGTTATTGCAGGCAGTGGGACTGTATTTTTTCTTGCTTCTTCTGTCTGCCCTCTGGTGGACGAGGCTAAGAGGCTTCCTTTTTATTCTGTTGATCATTTTATTTGCTGTGCAGAAGACTTTTGGTTTTACGTAGTCCCCTTTGCCTATTTTTGCTTTTGATGTCAATTCTCATAAGCTTTTTGCCTACTTTTAGTTTAAAATACTTAGCTTAAAAACATAAAAAGAGACTCAGATGTATAGAACAGACTTGTGGACTCTGGGAGAAGGCAAGGGTGGGATGTTTCAAGAGAACAGCATTGAAACATGTATATTATCTAGGGTGAAACAGATCACCAGCCCAGGTTGGGTGCATGAGACAAGTGCTCGGGCCTGGTACACTGGGAAGACCCAGAGGGATCGGGTGGAGAGGGAGGTGGGAGGGGGGACCAGGATGGGGAATACATGTAAATCCATGGCTAATTCATTTCAGTGTATGACAAAAACCACTGCAATGTTGTAAAGTAATTAGCCTCCAACTAATAAAAATAAATGGGAAAAAAAATACTTAGCTTAGCTGCAAGGTTCTCTCTTCATCAAATTTTCTACTCTCATCTCCTATCCTAACTCACATAGACACACAGGCACACACATCTATTACCCTATGCTTATCTAAACTCATCAATTAGCATTTTATTGTGAATCATAAAGGGCTCAGACTGGTCAATATGAGCACTCTGAGTGTGAAATCTTTTATGAATTACATTCAGGTGATATATTCAGAGTTCATGATTTTCAGCTTAAGGTTGAATGATATTAGACTTAGAGATGACAAGGGATATTTTAAGCTTCTCATTTCCCCTATGAGAGACTTAAGTGTGTGGCTGCCTTATTTGTTCTCTTACATTGAGGATTACCACTGCCAGGCCCAGGACAACCCAAACTTCTCACAACACAAATTAAAACACATGAGGCCTATAGATTAATGACTGTATATGGTTGCAAGTATTACCCCTAATTAGGTTTTTTTTTTTTTAAGACAAAACCACAAATCAGATTATAGGTGCAAGTATTTCTTAAACTGAACTTCAGTACCATCTTACAAATCACACAGGTTTCATAGAAATGAATACTAATTACAGTGAGGTTAACCACGACAAGAGGACCAAGGTGGGAACCTGAAAGTATTTAGCTCACTGAATCTGTGAGGGACTTAACATAGAATTTATGACAAAGGGCTTTAGTGCTGTTTCTTCAAACAGGCTGAATTGCCTATCTTGAAGCACTATTTTCTTATTAATTTTTCTGGTAACTTGCCTCTAAAAACTTCTCTGCATCAGATCTTAGGTAGATGTCATTTCTGTATCCAGTACAGAGAACCCTGTGGCAACAAAATCACATTTATCAAAATGAGTCTAATTCCACACTTCCATCTATAGCTCCTTGGGGATCAAGGCAACCCCTAACAGTATAAATTACATACTGGAGCTCAGTAAAGACTTCTTCATGAAATAATTTAATACAAACTGTGAAAATACTACAGAAGAAGGATAACAGTGGTGTGGAGACACTCACCTGTCTGTGAGATGGCCATATATGAGGCATCCCACCAGCATTCCAGCCATGAATAGGGACTGAACCACTGATTTCTGTGATTGATAATCACATACAAGGTCCCACTGGAAGAGAAGGAAGTCAGAACAGAGCAGCTTCACAGCATCTTATAGCCCTCAATGTTCACTCACTTCTATAGCCCTCAGTGAACACAGTTTCTGGTTTCCTTTACCACATTTACTCATCTGTATCATCCAAGTTAGCTTTCTCTAGAAGCCCTCAGCTAACTCCTTTAGGTTATATCAGGGCCAATCTTCATATTCACTTAGCACTGCATTCCTCGGTGGTTCTAAATCTTTGCCACACATTAAAAATATTAAGGATGCTTTTCATTAATGAGGTCTGGATTTTACACTTAGAGTGAAATGCACACTGATATGTTTCTCTGAGAAGTAGCCAGAACATGGGCATTTAAAAAAATTAATACCAATTTTTCCAAGTAGGAACTGTATCCTAATTTGCAAGTAGGTTAAGAACATTTGACTGAGAATAATTTTTCACTCATTATATCTTGTCTAACTGTATATCTTAACACAATGTAAAGTTTTGGGATACTTAAATTCATTTCCAGCTTATTTTTCCACTCTACTCAATTATAATGAAAAATAAAGTGCTTGGTAATTCAAAAGATAACCACTACTTACTAAAAGAATGAAAGGCAATTGACTATACTATCTACTCAGTAATTGAAAACCTGAACCCTGTTTACTTTACGTTATTCTAAACACAGAGATCATATAGTTATAAGAGGTAAATGAGGCCTTGATCTCAGTCACAATGGTGGAAGAGAACAAGCTGAGGTCATACACCCAGCCGTCCACACAGGGTTCCGTGTTCTGCTCACTCACATTGGGGGAGGACCCATTCAGGTGAAGGAGCTGCACTGGGGGCAGAGGAAGTGATGACATTTCTCTGGCTTCAAGTTCGAATCCAAGGGGATGGAGATTCTCAGAAGGACATCAGGGCTGAGGATCCCAGTGTCATTATCTGAGACAGTGGCATTATCGAGGATGTGGACCCAGCAGCGATGACCAGGAATAGCTGCAGTGAAGTTCTCCAACAGCATATGACAGACTACTATCATGAGAGAAGGGAGAATTAAAACCATTTGAAAAAGTGAAAGTTGCTCAGTCATTTCTGACTCTTTGGGAGTCTATACAATCTGTAGAATTCTCCAGGCCAGAATACTGGAGTGGGTAGCTTTTCCCTTCTCCAGCAGATCTTCCCAATCTAGGAATTGAACCAGGGTCTCCTGCATTGCAGGCGGATTCTTTACCAACTGAGCTATCAGGGAAACCATCTAAAATATCTGGAATTTCCCTAGACCACCAATTTCATCCAGGAATTCCTCAAAGGCTATTGAGAACAGGTGGTATTCAAGAGGAGTCAAAATGACTTATGGAGAGAAGCTTAAAGGAAGGAAAATATTTTCTTTCATTAACTCACAGTACATCTTTGTGACCTCATAACAGTTCCTCATCCATGGGTCTCACTTGCTTCACTACTGCAACAGATCAAAGGAATCGGTTTCCCTAGTATTCTTTTGGGAGCATGGGATGTTTGATTTTTTGTAAATTCAGAAAGAAAATTATTTACCAAAAAATACTTGTATCTGATGAACATTAAATCTGTTTAAAGATTTACTGTCTGAATATGTTTGTCCTCAGTGATTCTATGAAACCAGCATAGGACTTTGCCATGTACTTGACCTTTGAGTAATCTATAACAAACCTGCTACACAGTCTTCAGTCATTTACAGAAAATGGAATTTGAGAGACGAAAGAGTAGATGCCCTGTGATTTTTCTGAGAAAAGGACAGAAAGCAAGTGTTTCATTGTTTGTACTGTAACAGCAAATAATTAACAAAATACAATCCTTTGCTTTTAATTAAAAGTGGAATGTGGTGCAATTTCTGTTTCCAAACTGGGAAAGGAGTATGACAAGGCTGTATATTGTCACCCTGCTTATTTAACTTATATGCATAGTATATCAGGTGAAATGCCAGGCTGGGTGAATCACAAGCTGAAATCAATTGCTGGGAGAAATATCAACAACTTCAATATGCAAATGATAGCACTCTAATGGCAGAAACTGGAGAGAAACTAAAGAGCCTCTTGATGAGGAAGAAAGAGGTGAGTGGAAAAGCTGGCTTGAAACTCAACATTCAAAAAACGAAGCTCATGGCATTCAGTCCCATCAGTTCATGGCAAACAGAAGGCAAAAAAGTGGAAGCAGTGACAGATTTTATTTTCTTGGGCTCCAAAATCACTGCAGGTGGTGACTGCAGCCATGAAATTGAAAGATGTTTGCTTCTTGGAAGGTAAGCTATGACAAACCTACACAAGGTATTAAAAAACAGAGACATTACTTTGCCAACAAAGGTCCATATAGTCAAATCTATGGTTTTTCCAGTAGTTGTGTATGGATGTGACAATTGGACTGTTAAGAAGGCTGAGCACCAAAGAATTGATGCTCTGGAATTGTGGTGCTGGAGAAGACTCTTGAGAATCTCTTGGATGGCAAGGAGATCAAACCAGTCAATCCCAAAGGAAATCAACATTGAATATTCATTGGAAGGACTGATGTTCAAGTTGAAGTTCCAATACAGTGGCTACTTGATGCAGAGAGCTGGCTCACTGGAAAAGATTCTGATGCTGGGAAAGAGCGAAGGCAAAGGAGAAGGAGGCAGCCGAGAATTTGATGGTGAGAGAGCATCACTGACTCAAAGGACATGAATCTGAGCAAACTCCTGGAGAGAGTGGAGGACAGAAGAGCCTGGCATGCTGTAGTCCATGGAGTCAGATATGACTTAGTGACTGACCAGCAACAAGAACAACCTGAGGATGTATTACACAATGTGAGAGAATATAGCCAATATTTGGATTATAATTCTTGGAATGTAAATTTTACGTTATTTGTATCTTCAGCTCAGTTCAGTTGCTCAGTCATGTCTGACTCTTTGTGACCTGTGGACTATAGCACTCCAGGCTTCCCTGTCCATCACCAACTCCTGGAGTTTGCTCAAACTCACGTCCATCGAGTTGGTGATGCCATCCAACCATCTCATCCTCTGTCGTCCCATTCTCCTGCCTTCAATCTTTCCCAGCATCAGGGTCTTTTCCAACGT